GGCGGCCCGGCGACCGCGCGGGGGGGTCTGGGGCGCGGGGGCCGCCGCCGGGGCCCGTCCACATTCACTGCAACATCACGGTGAGGGCGGGGCAGAGCCTGGCGGGGCGACAGGGGGTCCCCGGGCTGCCCCTCTGCCGTGGGCCTGTGCGCCACCCTTCACTCGTGGGGCAGGCGTTTGGGGGGGCGGTGCTGGGGGTGCCGAGCGTCTGTCCAGCGCCGCGGGGGCATTCCCCGACAGTCCTGCAGGTTGGACTTCCCACTGCGGCGCAGGGTGGTCTCAGCGCTGGCGGTGAGCGGAGAGCCGGATAGGCAGGACGTTTCTCAGATGCCCCTTCGCCGTGGGGAGGGGTGTGAGCCTGTTCAGGACAGAGGGGGCTGCACCTTTCTGGTGTCTGGGAGCTGGGAAGTGAGGGCAAGAGCTGCCCACACACACCTGTGCCTGACCTGGGCTAACTGGGTCTGGCAGGCCCGTGTGTGGTGCCGGGTGCAAGTTCTGCCTGCACAAGTTTGGCTCGGGGAGCGCTGGCTGCCCCACGCGCCCTCCTCTGGGATCCCCAGCACCTGCCTCTCGGCACTGTGCTGTCTTGTGGCCAGAGGTAACGGGTGCACGGCGCCGGCTGCCACGAGTGCCAGCACTGCTTAGTGGTGAGCACCAGGCTGGGAGTGCTTGTTTTGGGGAGCCCCTGACACACTGTGTGTGCGCGCACGGAGCATCCATCCTGCCCGGGCCTTCCAGCTCAGGTTAGAAGGACCCAGGGTTGGGGTGGGAGCTGCAATCTGCCCAGCAGCCAGTGGCCCCGTTACAGGATCAAGACAACTTGCCAGAGGACGTCATGTTTGGTGCATTTGGTGCTCTTGGCTGTTGGGCTGTAACAGATACCTTCCTGGCGCATGCTCCTGGGAGCTGCTGGGCACCGAGGTCTGCAGAACAGGGCGCTGGGTCATTTTCCCTTGCCAGGGCAGGGCACCCAGTGAGGTACAGATAACCCCATCTGGGGGTCAAAGGAGCTGAGCAGCTGGCAACTTTGTGCTCTTGGAGCTGCAGTTGGTTCTGCTTCTGCCTGGGATCAGCGCAGGCACGGGGCGAGCGTGTTTCCTTGTGCCGTGTGGTTCATGGGGCTGGTTTGTGGAAGGTGCAGGGCAGCTGCCTGGGCAGAGGCTGCTGCAGCACTGCAGCCAGCTCATGGGTTCCTCTCCCTGCAGGAGTCTTACCCAGCTGTTCCCCCCATATGGTCCGTGGAGTCCGATGATCCCAACCTGGCAGCTATCCTGGAGAGGCTAGTGGAAGTCAGGAAAGGAAATACCCTGGTGAGGAGGGCACTGTGGTATTGGGGAATTCCTGGGTGCTCTGCTCCTCAGGCTGCTGCTTGCCTGTCTGCCTGTTTTCCAGTGCTTGTCTGTTGTGCTGGAAGGAGATGGGTTGTCTAGCTGGGACCCCCAGGCCCTTGCCTTCTGCTAGGACATGGGTTCCCTTCACACAGTGGCTGCAGCAGCACCATGCTCGTCCCTGGAAGGGCTGTGTTCAGCAGGATGCGACTCTGGGCTGTCCCCAGGCCCTCGCCTGTTTGCAGAGAAGCATGGTGCCATTGGCTGTGCTCCATGGCTGGGGCTTGGGGCTTCTCACCTTGCTGGTCTCTCCTCCCTGGGCAGCTCTTGCAGCACCTGAAACGGATAATCTCGGACCTGTGCAAACTCTACAACCTCCCACAGCATCCAGATGTTGAGATGTTGGACCAGCCTCTACCGGCAGAACAGGTGAGCTGGCCTCCACCAGGCTGCATCAAGAGAGAGATCCTCTGTTCAGGTGGCTTCTTTGCAGCTCCAGGCTGCCATGAGCCTTCTTGGGTGTGACCAGCCCAAGCCTACAGTCTCTCCAGAGGTGGTTCTGCAGCTTTCTAGCTGGGGAAGTCTTTCCACAATGCTGTCTCTTTGCAGGGCTGAGGCATCTCCCAGCTCACTGTGTGGCATGGTGGGTAGATTAACATCTGTTCCCTCCCTGATATACTCTGTATATTGTGACCATTGATGGGCGCTCCTGGGCCTCTCCTGATACTGCTCATGCTCAGCTATGGAGGCAGTTCCCTGGGTGGAACAGCTGGTGAAGTTGAGCTCTTGGTGTGACTCCCCAGTCAGACTGGGGTGGGCTCTGGCCTGCTGCAGGCTTAGTGAGGCACAGGACTACATCTGACTCTTCCCGGGCCTCCTTTAGGTAGGCACTGCCTGAGCTTGGGCACAGCTGCTTGGGACAGAAGCTGGCAGGTTACCAGTCCCTTGGGTGGGTAGTTGTCCCCACCAGGATGGCAGTGGTCTGGGAGATGTCGGAGGAGGATGGTCTGACCCTTTTCCTTGTCACCCCACCGCTGCAGAGCACACAGGAAGAAGTGTCTTCTGAAGAGGAAGATGAGGAAATGCCAGAGGTAAGGGAGCTCTTTTGTGTCCAGCAGGGCTGCGGGATCATAAAAGGAGCAGAGACACTGAGTCCATGCAGTGCTTCATGAGCCCTGGTGCTGGCTTGGCTGGGGCAGTTTGAGTGCATGCACTCAGGGTTATTTCCTTGTGGCCTATTCACTGAGAGCCTCAAGGGAGTGGCCTGCTTGTCTGTCTGGCTGTTGTGAAGGCTGGCAGTAGCCAGGCTTGATGCTGGGTAGGCAGGAACAGGTCCTTAGGCTTGGTCCACTGTCCAGAGCCTGACACTGACCCACTGGGATCTGCTTTGCCTGGTGCTGAGTCTTCTGAGCTGGTGTGGCAAACACAAGGAGATCCCACTCCTGAGGAAAGAGGGCAGGGTGGGATACAAACCATGTGCACCACTGTGGGGGCACATGGGCGGCTGACCTCTTCCAAAGGTTGAGAATCCACGTGCTGCGAAGCTCCCGGGCTTTGGCAGCTCACTTTGAGGCCTAAAGAGCTCTTGACATGGGTGGAGTGGAAGAGTGTCTCCATGGTGACGGTTCCTGAATGCCCTGCTCAGGGAGCTGGGCACGTGGGTTCTCTGCCCCTGGCTGCCAGGGCATGGATCCAGGACACTGGGGGTGCAGAGGGCATCCTGTTGAGCCATAGTCAGGGAGGCCTGGCAAGAGGCAACATGTGGGTCTCCTCGCTGCAGTGGGCAGGAAGCCTCAGTGGTAAACAGCCTGGGAGTCCGTGGCTGTTCACAGAGCATGGGAAAGACTAGAGGAAGGCATCATGTTCTCATCCTGGGCCTGGGACTTGCACTGGTGTGCTACTGACAGGCTGGCCAGATGGGCCAAGGGCTCTGTTGTGCGGGTGGTATGTCAGCTAGGCCCTGGGTCTGGCACCATGGAGCTGCCCCAGGGCAGGGCTGTGAGTGCCAGTTATTGAACAGCTTGGGGAGCTCCAAGCCCCTGCACACTTCCCCAAGTGCTCACTTCATCCTGAAGAGCAGTAGCTGCCCTGGAGATGCTGTGAGCATTTGGTTACAGAGGATGAATCCCAGCCCAGGGCTCTGTGTTGGCATCTAGGCAGCTGAGCCCTGCTAGCAGCTTCTTCCCTAGTGACAGGAGCCATAGTGCTCCAGCCTCCTGGCTGCAAGACTGCCTGGGGTGGAGGTTCGCACTAGTGGCCAGTGCAGTCTGCTGTGCGCAGGTGCCCTGGGCATCCGAGAGCCTCAGGCTGCCCTGGGAGAGACCGGGAGCTGGTGTGGGCCTTGGTGAGGACGGTGCCGCAGGTCCCACCAGTAGCCTCTGTCAGCTCCCTCCCAAGGCAAGTGGAGAGGGGCAGGATTGGGGGGAGACTGTCTCCAAGGCATGCAGCAGCATCCTGCTGAAGTACTGTGCCCGATACCTGCGTGTTCTGGAAGCTGAAGGCTGAGCATAGGTAGGCACATGAAGTCCAGGAGAGGAAATGGGTTGGACACAGCTGAAGGAGCTGCCAGCCTGGCCGGGTCTCAGCCTGGCTTGTTTCAAATGCCTGCGCCTGGTCTCTGCAGCTGCGCAGGGCAGCGTGGCGCGGAGCAGGGCCTCCCATCTGAGGCTCTTCTGCCCCTTGCCAGGACACAGAGGACTTGGATCACTACGAGATGAAGGAGGAGGAGCCAGCCGATGGGAAGAGGACAGAGGATGAGGGCATTGGCAAGGAGAACCTGGCCATCCTGGAGAAGATCAAAAAGAACCAGAGGCAAGATTACTTAAATGTACGTGTCGCCGGCGGGCGGCGGGGAGGGGGGAGGGCCCAGGGACCCCAACAAGGGCAACCTACTTCTGCTCTGTCTGACCAGTGGGCTGGCTCCTCGCACCCCATCCCTGAAAGGTCTGTGCCCAGCCCGGTACCTGCTGCCCTGGGAGGTTGCACAGGCACCAACAGGCTACGGCCAGCATGTGGGTTCCAGCAGAGGACCTGGGTGGGGCGGCAGGGCTGGGGCGCAGCAGAGAAGACTGGCTAGAGCACTGCTGTGCATGCCCTGATCCTGGCTGGATGTTGGCTTCTGACCCCAGCCAAAAGGACCTGAGCTCCCAGGGGGACAGAGCCACGTCCGGCACAGAGTCACTGGGCCTTCCCTGGGACACAGGCTGCCCCAGGGGTGTCCAAGTTAGCACTACCCTGGGCTTGTTCTCCCTGAGCTGGTGTGGAGTCACCCTGCCCCTTAGCCAGGGGGCCTCAGTTCCTCTGCTGCTGCTGGGTGCAGGAGCCGGTTCCCCTGGGGTTGCAGGATGTTGTGCTCTGATCAAACTTGGCTTGCTACCTGCAACTGGGGTTACAGTGCCTTTCCCTCCCCGTCCCTGTCAGGGTGCAGTGTCTGGGTCTGTGCAGGCCACTGACCGGCTAATGAAGGAGCTCAGGGATATTTACCGATCACCAAGTTTCAAGGGCGGTGAGTACAGTGGAGAGTTAGCGAGCAAGGCTGGGGGTGGAGTGGACTGTGACCTACTTGCTCTTTGTGGGGCCCTGGGAGGGCCTAGCAGGTGCTGGGAGCTGAGCTGGGGGAAAAGAAACCTCCCCTTGCTGTCACAGCAGAAAGGCGTGGACAGGGTTCACAGGAGACTGGGCAGAGCTGGATCCAGAGGTGCCTGCTCACTGCCACCATGGAGCAGAGGTTGACTCTGCTAGGGGAGGGGAGGGCCTTTAGAGGTGGCTGTTCCCTGTGCTGCTGGCTGAGTACCCCTGGTCCTGGGTGGGGTGGGTCCCAGGGCCATCTTGTTTCTGGATGCTGGGTACAGTAGGTGGGACAAGTGCCTGTGTGGCTTGCAGCAGCTGCCACACTGAGCTGGTGTACTTGGCTGGGGGCAACTTGCAGCACCGAGCACTGCCCCTCTCTGGACAGCTCGGCTGCCTCCTGCCACGGCTCTGACCCATTGCGCATCACCCGCAGGGAACTATGCAGTGGAACTCGTGAACGACAGCCTGTACGATTGGAACGTCAAACTCCTGAAGTAAGTGGCCTGGTGCAGTCACCCTGATACCCCCAACCCACCTTTTTCCTTTGGAAACTGGCAGCGCTGCTTCTTGCTGAGTGATGGCCATTTCCTCCCTTCTCTTGGCAAGGACGCTGCAGGCCTGCTCTCCTGGGGCACAGGGCTGGGCTAGGCGGGCTGCCAGTGCTCTGGGCTCCTTCTAGAGGCTGGTGCCCTGGCATAGCTTTCCCCATTTGATGGGGTGGGGGCTTCCCTCACAGGGTTGACGAGGACAGCGCTTTGCACAATGATCTCCAGATCCTCAAAGAGAAGGAAGGAACTGACTTCATCCTGCTCAACTTCTCCTTTAAAGTGAGTCCTGCCCCACTCTGCCCAACACCTGCTTCGGGCTAGCAGCTGGAACCAGTGCTTCTCAACAGCCTTGTCTCTCTTTCAGGACAACTTTCCCTTTGACCCACCATTTGTGAGGGTCGTGTCCCCTGTGCTCTCAGGGGGGTGAGTGACTGCGCCATAGTGCTCTGGGTACCGCACTCCCATGAGTCTTGGGTCTCTGATTTGCTGGGAGGATGCTGGTTTCTCTGGGTTTCCCCAGCTGGAGAGTCAACACATTACCTGTCCATGTCGGCAGGGAGTGTCTGAGGCAACCATCTCGCTACTGCAGAATGGCCCTTTCACGTGGTGGTGGGGGAGGCTGGTACAGAAGTGTATGGCCTGGGGCAGAAGGGCAGGGAGGTGGGAGGGGGCATGGACCTGCCTGGTGGGCATCTTCCATCACAAGCAGACAATGCTTCTGCAGAGCCACTGTAGTGCTGGCTGGGGCCACAGCACACCCCAGGCCTCTGACTTGGTCTCTGCCCTGCAGGTACGTTCTGGGTGGAGGTGCCATCTGCATGGAGCTGCTGACCAAACAGGTGAGCAGCTGGGCAGGCTCCAGGTAGGGGCCATGCTGACACTCGGATATCCTGGATGCCAAGTGCTGGGCACCTGGAAGTCCTGCCAGAAGCAGTAGCTGACAGCGAAGCCTTGCCCTGCACTCTGTGCAGCCTGCTCCTTTGGCCGGGGGGCAGTGGTGGTTTGTTTATAAGAACAGAACAAGTTAAGGGAACATGCTGCTGCCAATGGCAGAGCTGGACTCATGGGTGGTGGAAATGATGCCCTCAGTGTTCCTCCCCCGGGGGCAGGAAGTGACTGCTGGAAGGGCACCAAAATTATGGCATCGGAGCAAACCCTGTGCCCTGCCCCTTTGAGGCCAAGTGTCCCATTGACTGCTTCCTGCCCACACCTACTCACTTCAGTGTTGGGAAGAGGGTTGTGAATGTGTGACCTTGCGCAAATGGGGGCCGGCAGCCTGTGGAGGCTGTAAGTGGCTGCTCAGAGTACTGATGGTGTCCCAGGTGGGCACGGGCTGGGGCTTTCTGCCTGGACTGCTCAGCAGAGCACAGTGGAGGGAGCGTCTGGTCCCCTCCTGTAAGCCAAGGCTGGGTGGGTGCCATCAAGCGCAGGCCCTGTCCACCCCCTCATTGTATCCTTCTTGGCTTTGCAGGGCTGGAGCAGTGCCTACTCCATTGAGTCGGTGATCATGCAGATCAGTGCCACGCTGGTGAAAGGGAAGGCGCGCGTGCAGTTCGGAGCCAATAAGGTAGGACTGGCATGGAGCAACTGGGGGAGGGGCCCACCACAGTCCCAGCTTTCAGGCTGCTTTTGGGGCCCTCGGCCAAGGCTCCCAGGTGCTTGGAGCAGGAGACTGAGCACCCAGAGAGCAGTGCCATGGAGTCAGTCTGTCAGAGAAGAACTACTTCACAGTCAGGGCAGATAGGATCTGGAACCAGCTTCCAGGAGAAGTGGTGCTGGCTCCTACCCTGGGGGTCTTTAAGAAGAGGCTTGATGCCTACTTGGCTGGAGTCATTTGAGCCCAGTTTTTCTCCTGCCCAGGCAGGGGGTCGGACTTGAAGATCTACAAGGTCCCTTCCGACCCTGCTTCTATGATTCTATGACCTGGGAGGCTGCAGTATCTCTGTGTGGGCTCGCAAAACAGCAGGGCTGTAAGCAAGGCCTTGCTCTTGTCCCAGCCTGCCTGTGAGACCCTGCAGTGCAAAATGACCAGCTGCCCAGGCCTGCATGCTGTGGGAGACTGCCTGCTGCAGTAGGCAGTGCTTGAAGCAGTATCCAGTGCTGTCCTGGGCAGTGAAGTGCTTGAGGGTTGGGTAACACTAGCCTGAGATCTACAGGGATTTGAATTGATCTCTTTACCCTTCTGGCTTCTCTGGCAGAATCAGTACAGCCTGACCAGAGCACAGCAGTCCTACAAGTCCCTGGTGCAGATCCATGAAAAGAATGGTAAGTTCTGTGGTAACTGGAGCCCTGTGGGTGTGGGTCTTACTGCCCTGGCTGAAAATCTCCTCTGAGCAGCATCCCTTGGCTGCAGTGGGGTGACACTGGGTGCATCAGGATGTCTAACTGTTGACTTGCTCCAGGGACCCCCAAGAACCCTCGTCCCTGGTGCAGTGTGGCTTGCTGGGTGGCTGTCTCACCCCCTCAGTCACTGGGGAAGTGCAGAGCAGAGGGGATGACATGGTGCTCAGGTCAGCTGAGGCAGGCATCGCACTACTGTGCTTGGCTTCTGAGCCCAGACACTCCAGGTGCAGCCTGCATATGCCATTAGCAGGGGTCCAGCATCTCCTCCAGTCTGTATGAGGCATGGTCACTGTTGAGACACAGAGGTCACACTAAAAATAGAGTCTCTTGCCAAGGCCATAGGAAAAGCACCCTGAGCACAGCAGCCTATGCACAGCCATGGCATCGCCAGCCACCAGGGCTCGGAGCTGTTGTGAGCTGCAGGCCCAGACTCCTGTGGCCTGGAGGCGTGAGGCCAAGCTCAAGTGCATGTGCAGGTTGTGGCAGTGTTGTAGTTGCAGCAGGACCGGTCTCACCTCACCGTGCTCTTGTTGCAGGCTGGTACACACCGCCCAAGGAGGATGGCTAGCGTGGCAGCCACCCAGGCATCGCCGGACCACTTGACCTTGGAATGCTGTACTTGGATCTGCCAATGCCTCTGGCTTTCTCCTGAGATGTGATGGCTCTGCCTGTTGCAGGACAATAGCGGCTGCGATAAACTCTAAGGAATGAGCCGTGTGTGCAGTTGGACTGACCCGAAACACTCGCTGGACCCTCGCTAGCAGCATTCTTATTAAAACAAACTCTGAGCCTCTTGTATCGCTGGCCACTTCCCGCTCTGCTCTGGTTTAGAGCATCTCCTTACCTATGCTATGGATTTAATTTATTTTCTTATTTCATGTACACTGCTTTGTTTGTTCCAGTGTCAGGCTGTGCAGGAAGGGATCTCTGGAGACCATTACAGTTTGGTAATTTGAAGAGCCTGGGCTGCCGCAGTCGTTATTGTGCTGGGCTGGGTTTTGTTGAGGGCAGCCAAAAGGGCAAGAGACATGCCCCAGTGATGACCTGCATGGGAGAGTCTGGTGTCAACCTGCTGTATGGAAGCGAGGGAGCTTCTGTGGTGGAGGGGGGGCTTCCGGCCCTCCTCTCTGCTCCTTCAGCGACAGCCTATTCTCATCAGTGGTGGAGTCCTGTGCTCCTGGGGGTCAATGGAGACCGAAGGAGCTGAGAGTGCTTCTTGGCTGCAGCCGAGCACTGGGAGCAGCTCCCTGCAAGCAGTTCGACTGTCCTCGACTGTGCGCAGTGGCGGTGGGACCCTCTCCTGAGGTTGGCAGCAGTGACTAAGGTGGTAACAGGTGGAGCACATTTGGTAGCAGGTGGGAGTTTGGGAAGGGGCACTGGCAGCAGCGCAGGAGGAGGCAGTGCAGAGCCCTGTAGCATGGACTGCATTTCAGGCATGAGAAGTTCTCTGTCCCTTCCTTCCTTGTATGTTCAACCCCTGCCTCGCTGCCCAGGGCTGGAAGTTGCGGCCCAGGGTGGACCCTGGGCAGGGGATGGGAGTGTGAGCCAGTGCTTGGGACAGGCTGACCCCTCTCAAGGGAGGGCAAGTTGGTGACGGGAAGCAGAATTCCCCATCTGCCTCCAGGCAGTCTTGGGTCCAGCAAGGGTGGCTCGGGGGCAGTTTTGTGACCTCCCTCCATAGGTGTAGCTCCCACTGCCTTCCTGCCTTGCTGGGGGACCTGGAGGCTCTGCTGTTCTCCCTCCCTGCTGCTCCTGTTTCCACACCAGGTTTCTTGCCCTCTTCCCCTGTGAAGTCTGGGACTGCAGCTGCCGGGCAGCATTTGCTGGCTCTGACTGCAGTCGAGACAGCTGGAATGCAAGGAGCCTCCAGCAAGCTGGTTATCCAAGGTGGCAGCAGCCCTACTGTATTTCCATCCCCCTTTTCCTCTGGAAGGTCTGGGTCCAGATAAAGGTGGCGGCCAGCCTCTGGGGAGGAGCTGGGCTGCTGTCATGTGCTGTTTGGGGGGGGGGGGGGGGGGGGGTGAGGGGGGGG